TAAGCCAGATAATAACTTAAAGTAGCAAATCCTCATAGACATAAATTTTATTTATCCAGCCGTTATTCATCAATCTCCATGAAACTTCCATAGGATTTCATCCCTACTAAGTGCTAACACATAACCAATCAACTGAAAAGATGTTTCAAATCACCAAGTACAAGAAAAGATTTCCCCCCTGAGAGCTGGAAACATTGACGGGGGACAATTTTCAGCATCCCATATTGGATGAATAAATGGATCACATTCACCGGTAGAAGCTATTCACACTTGCCTTTGAGTCTCAAGGTAAATGCCTGTAAGGACAAGAGAACTGCTCTGAGTTTCTGCTTGGTTTCTTCATCTGTCAGCACACCATCACTGTCAAACTTCGATGGTGGCTGGAATGCGTTCAAGAAAAATTCAGGTTTGTTAATGAAATGAAGATCAAGGTAGACTCCTATCTGTCGAAGGTGATATTGTGCTCGTCCTCCACCAAAGCCACCTCCAGCACTCACGATTGCTGCTGCTTTATCAGCCCAAACATTTGGAGGCCGAGATGCCCAATCAATTGCATTTTTCAAGGGTCCTACCCAAGGATCAGGAAATGATAGTTCATTAGTACCAAGAGTATTATCACAAGAAGCAAAATCCATCAGACTATTTGCACTGATGTATTAACAAATAACAATGTAACAATGTGCGTCTATAATGTGTACGACGATTGTCTACAAACTAATCTAGCAACCTATTGCTACTTGCATGTCCAGAGTCTAATCGATGCTTTTAAACTATAGGGCTTGGATCCAACCTAGGCAACCAAATCCTCCATTCGTATTAAACTGTACAGGCTATGATTACTTCAACTCTTATGGTCCACCCATTACCATAGCAGATAATTAGACTCCCATGCTACTACTATGTAATTGGTTTCTTAAACAGACCAGAAATAGTAGCTAACAAACACATAAAACCCAATGGTACAACTAGAGCTGGCAAAATGGTTAAAAGAAAACAGTTACCCACCCATATTATCTATTACAAAATGGGTTGGATAGTGAACTTTTTAAGAACGGGTCGAATATGGATAAGATCCATATTATCCACTTAGAAAATGGGTAACCAATGGATAACTAATGTGCTTAACTTTTACATTTGTAAAACCTCAAATTGGGAGTTCCTCAAGTTTGAGCGACTAGGAATTCTCCCCTAAGTGATCATATTCAAGAAGCCATGGATAATATGAATATCCATATTATCCGCTGGATAACCCGTTTTTTCTCCGTCTTAAATGCGGGTCAGGTCGGATAATTTATCAGTTTTTTAAATTACCCGTTTCGACCCGCTCATATCTGACTTGACCCGCCCGTTTGCCACCCCAAGGTACAACACATTTAACACTCAATTTTCCAATCAAAAGAACAAAAGAGAAGAAAAACTAAATATTCGTCATATCAACCTGAAAGATGAGCTGTGAAGATATCTTTCAAGCACCTTAACTTGAACATCTCTTTGGGAGTATTGCAAATGTCCACAGATGTTAGACGTTAAGTTCTAGCTATAACCACATTTATTAGTAAAAATTGTTTTACAACCAAATACATTTAGATATTCCTATCAAGTTCTTAATTTTGCTCTTATTGATCTCTTAAAGAAGATCATCCTACCAATAGCCTGTGTGAGATAAATATCTTGGATAATATATATATTCATGTTACTATCATTTTGTGCTAACGAGAAACTTTTTCTTTAGTTTTCACCATGTACAACTTATTTGCTGTCACTTTTTATTAAAAAAGCATCTTCCCGGTTCAACCTCCATCAATAAAAGCTAAAGTTGCACAGAATAAATCGGCATACTTAATTAGCAAGTGATCATGGGTCCTAATTCACACCAAAACCACTAATCAAATCACCCATCTAGAACACCAATTATTGTCACTTTGCTAGCTTTCAACTTTTTCTTAATCCTCTTTCCCTTTATTTCTTTCTAGTATTCAAAGGTCTGTGCTCACCAGATGAGCATCATAAATCATTATGCTTGGTGTACAAGCATGGGCGGATTTAGGGGCATACTCAGAACTTCCTTTGCCGAAAAATTACACAGATAAATTTTGAGTTTTACCTATATATATTATGTTTTGAATCCCCTTGTATAGCCCAAAAGAATAGCTAAGTGGTCAAGGGATTCAAAATATTTGTAAAGTCATTGGTTCAATTCCCACTAATACAATCCTTCTTAATTTTTTTCTTTTTTCTTTTTAGAACCCCTTAACGGAATTTCTGCATCCACCACTGTTACAAGTCTTCAGATTCTCCGTGCATAAAAGTCGAAATAGCACTAAATTGATCAGATCCAGATTCCAAAACAATTAAATCATAAATTAGAAATGTCAATCCATAGTTACCATCCAATAAAGATTAAATAATAGCTATACTCATGTTCTGATTCCTAGAGCCGAACTAATTTTTATACGAGGAAACTTGCTACTTACTCTAATTTTTGCGCAGATTTTGAGTAACAAAGTAAGATTTTCAAAAAGAGTAATCATTTTAAAGTCTAAATTAGCTACAAAATAGTTAAGTGGAGAAGCAAAATTAGGAGGGGGAAGAAAGGTGGAATACCAGTGACGGAGTAATTGTACTCGGGAGAAGCAAAAAGGTAACAATCTGCTTCTTCAATTTTCTTACGAAAAACCTCGACAACGGCAGGATAAGTTCCGTTGACTTCCAGATCAGTGTTCAGAAACGGCAGCGGCGATATGTCCACGTACTCAATCTCCATTCCCTTTATATCCTTGCATATCTCCATTGCTACGCCCAATTACAATCATCAATCACACCATGAGTAGCAAGTACAAGCACCAAAAGCATATAGTGAATAAATAATAATTTTAAAATAAAAAAAGTATACCGGCAAGGAGGAGACCACGATTATAGGAACCTTTACGGAGGGAACCGCAAAGCCCAGCGACTTTGATTACTGGTTGAGCTGCCATCACCGCTGCTGCTTGCATTTCCACTCTCGATATTTTTTTCCTTTGTCTTTTTCTGTCTACTTCCGAATTCTCAGAGTATATGTTTGATGGCTTTTCATAAATTTATATAGGCCAACTCTGATGGCCTGACGAATGGGATGGCAAACCGAACCGTTGTAGGTTTTTTAAATCGGACCGTCACTGTTGACTTGTCATCCCCGGCTTTTGACTTTTTTTACTGTTTACTTTTTCCTATCTTCTTATGAAGAGTAAATGATCATCTGGTTAACCAACAATTTTGTAACTTACCAACAGATAAGAGCCCGTTTGAACATAACAATTTTTTTAACTTTTTTTTTTTGAAAAATTTTCATTTTTCTTCGAAATCAATGTTTCGCCATAAAATTTTTTAATTTTGAAAAACTCCAAAAAAACTATTTTTCAAAAATTTCACTCATCACTCACAAAACTTCAAAAACAACTCAAAATTTTATTCACGTCAAAACAAAACTCTAGTTTTCAATAGTATTTTCATTTGAAGAATTTTTTCACGTTTTTTACAAATTTTACAATTCTTATGTCCAAATGCCCACTAAATTAAGAAAAGTTCACCCAATTTTAAATTTTGAGATAAAACATGATAAACAGTCTTTAATAAATTAGGTGTTACATATTTGATAACTACAATTACAGGTAGAAATAACAATTTCATCAGACAAATGAAGAAAAAAAAGGATCTCGTGTGTAAAAAATATATCCGAACAATTTCTGATGGGGATTCAGTTCCGCAAACGTGGCTCTACAATGCTACAACTTTATAGTTTCCCACAAAAAACTAAATTGCAAAATATAGGAAGTGGAATGATACTTAAATATCAAATGGAAAAAACCATACTTATTTAACTAATCTAAAACTTATCGTCCACCAGTTTTTGTCCAAACATAAAAAGTCAGGACTGCTGCATCCATTACTCTATCGATATTATTTTCAAAAAATGGGGCGCCTCATTTTTTGTTACATTTAATAGATTAATTATAAGTTTAAAAAAAAAAGTTATATGAAATGAAAAAGGTTTGATTTCTTTCTTTAATAAATATAGAGAAGAAGAATTTACAACTGTTATGATTTTTGTCAAGGATTGCATTTGAAATGAATATCGAACCGGAATTTCCTAAAAAATACAATTTGATGAAAATATTTATAATGCAATCTCAAAATCTCTCAAAGTGTCTTTTAGACTTTATTACTATTTATACATGGTAGACAAGGCTATTGTTTAATTCCAAAATAGATTTGGATCATTCGAAACATATTAAAATATTTTTAGTTTTCTATTTAGCGGTAAAAAAAAACTAAGATCACTAGATGATGAAAATTTAAAAAAAAAATATTGCCTTAATCGTGAATGTTCCTTAAGCCTAATAATCAATTCGATATTGATGGTTTAAAATTTATTTTCTGAATTAAAAGTGTTAAGGAAAATAATACAATTAGAAGATAACAGTTTAATTGATATACTCAATCAAATAAAAAAATTTGATTCTTTTCCAAATGCCTATATTGCTTATATAATAATGTTAATAATTCCTGTTAGCGTTGCTTCAGTGCAAAAAAAGTTTTTCAAAATTAAAATTGATAAAATCTTACCTAAGATCAACGGTGTGTGGTTAAATGGATTAGCTATATTGTCAATTGAGAAAGACTTATTAGGAGCAATTGATTATAAGAAAATTATTAATTAATAACTTTGCATAAAAAGAGCTAGAAAAATAGACTTCGTTTTTAAAAAAAACAAATTTAGGCCACTTTGGCACCACAAAATTCGTTGGACCGCTCCTGAGTGGGTGTTCACCATTTTTTACTGCTCAATTATAAGATAGCGATTTTTTTTTTTTTTGTTACAATGTAGAAATTATCATAGCTATTCTATTGTTGTTTTTTAATTATTCTATCACGATTATTATTCAGTATAGTCGAATACAACTTATTTATATTAATGCATAGTTGTCATATTATTGTTTTAAAATAATTTTGCTATAATCTTGGAAAGCTTTTCAACTCAATATATAATATGTTTTCATATAATAATGAAACACTCTCATACAATTTCAACCCTGCTGACATAACCAAAACAAGTGAACAGATGTTCCAAATCTACCAATACAAAAAGAAGAAGAAGAAGAAGAAACTGAGAGCTGGAAACATAACTGGAGACAATTTTCATCATCCCATATATTGGATGAAGATCAAATGGACGAGATTCACTCTATTCACTTAGCTTGCCTTTGAGTCTCAAAGAAAATGCTTGTAAAGCCAAAAGAACTTCTCTAAGTCTCTGCTTGGATTCTTCATCTGTTAGCACACCTTCATCGTCAAACTTAGGTGGTGACTCGAACGCGTTGAGGAAAAATTCAGGTTTGTTAATGAAATGAAGATCAATGTAGATTCCTATATGTCGAAGGTGATAGTGTGATCGTCCTCCACCGAAGTTACCTCCACCACTCACTATTGCTGCTGCTTTATCACCCCAAACATTTGGAGGTCGAGATGCCCAATCAATTGCATTTTTTAAGGGTCCTAATTAAATCAAATAATTAGAAATGTCAATCCATATATATAGTTACCATCGAATACAGTTTAAAAAGTAATTATATATGTTCATGTAGTTGGTGCTGTTACTAAGTTTTCATGTAGAAAACTGGCATACCAGTGACGGAGTAATTGTACTCGGGAGAAGCAAAAAGGAAACAATCTGCTTCTTCAATTTTCTTACGAAAAGTCTCCACAGCGGCAGGATAAGTTCCGTTGACCTCAAGATCCTCGTTCACAAATGGCAGCGGCGAGATGTCCACGTACTCAATCTCCATTCCATTTATAGATTCCTTGCATACCTCCATTGCTACGCCCAATTGCAATCATCAATCAGAATAGCAGTAAGCGCCAAAACTATATGGTGAAACAAATTAAAGGGGAAAAAAAGAGTGTACCAGCACTGAGTAGACCATAATTCCAGGAGCCTTTACGAAGGGAACCGCAGAGCGCAGCGACCTTGATTACTGGTTGAGCTGCCATCGCCACTGCTGCTTGCTTTAATTTTCCACTGAATATTCTTTTTCTTTTTCTGAATTCTCAGATAATATTTTGATGGCTTTTCATCACATATATATATATTGGGGAATTCAGAAGGCCTGACGGATGCGATGACGAACCGTCGAATTTAAAACTGAAAGGTACTCGTCATAATCGTTGTATGTATTTTTTCGTCCGTCTTTCTCATGAATCATTACATTTTTTAGGTTGGCTGTCAATTTGAGAAGAAAAAAGAAGTGTTAATAGATTAATCCTTAATCTCCAATATATCCATCATAGAATCACTAAAATAAAAAATAGAGATAGTTTTTTTTTTTATAACAAAAAAGTGATACTCAAATTTCATATACAGAGCCCTGCGTTTACCTAACCTAAAGTTTTTTTTATCGGTCTATCTATATCTATATCTATATTCTATATTATTATAAAAGCATGAATAAAATGTTGATTTACAAAAATAACTTTATAATATTAAGCAAAATAACTCATAATAAAAGGACATAACCGGAATTCTAGATATTAGCCTTATAATCTTATTAGTTTTAGGACATAATACTACACGTTAGAAATTCTACATGATTACCTTTAAGAATCCTATTAGTATAATAATTACTTTCGGGCGGTCTAATTCATATAAAATTGAAAAAGTAAATATCTACTTATTCTTTACTATTTGGTCTTCGAATTAAAGTCGTTAAAGGATATGCGAATCTTGGTGAAGAGAAAAACACGGATGTCATATAGCATAAATAAACAAATAGGGATATCTGGATTAAAATTTGCAAAAAAAAAAATTTGAAATCTAAAAGGGATATCCAACAGAATAATTAGTACGTAATTGAACCAGAAGATGCTTAAGATCGACTTTTAATAAAATAAAATCGACAGCTGATACCACTAACTGACTAAATACAATTATATATCATAATACCATTGATAATTATAGCAATCTCTCTCAGACACTTCACTTATGGTTTGAATATTATAATTATCTTTCCTAGCTTAATTTCTCTATGTACGTTATTTATTTTAACATAATGAAAAATAAAGTATCAATACTAAAACTAATATTCCATAATATCACTAATGTAATCTATCAAACGAAGATGAAATATGTAATTTAGAACAAATATCATACAGTAAGAAAACTGACGGAAATAGGGGAACTCATTCTTTTCAAATATTATGGGTGTGTTTGGTAGGAAGGAAAACATTTTCCGGAAAATGTTTTCTAATTTTTTCCATGTTTGATTGGTTTAAATGTTTTTGGAAAAAATTATGATTGCTTTAAATTTTTATTATAAAGAAACGCAAGAAACAAAAAAAAAAAAATTAGCTTATGCAAATTACCACTTAGTTTCCAATTATATTATACTCATGGAAAAGAAAGTGAAGAATTTCCACAGGTGGTCGATTTATAATTTTTGAAATAGTTTCAGAGCTCTCCCTCCAGGGTTTCGCTTTATGACACTGGATTCTTTTATTATAAAAGCATGATACAATGTCGGTTTATAAAATAACCTTATAATTATTAAGCATAATAACTCATATAAAAGGACATAACTGAAATTTTAGATATTAGCCTTATAATACTATTTAGTTTTAGGACATAATACTACACGGTAGAAATCCACATGATTACCTTTTAGAAATTCTATTAGTATAATACTTTCTGGCTATCTAATTCATATAAAATTGAACAAGTAAATATCTTTAGTCAGGTAATCTTATTACTTTTAGGATATACTTCTTAAAACTTTCTATTACTAAATTAATTTGAAAACGTATTATAATGTCCGGTTATTAATTTAATTTGAGAATGTATTATATTGTCACATCCATTTAGAAAAAGGAGAGCCTATATTTAATATAAAAATTATAAAAATACAATATTAGTATATACCAAAATAGCCCTAAAAATATTAAATGGAAGAACTCATAGGGAAAAGACAAACTCTATTACCTATTTTTGGAATACAATGCCTTCTATGCTAATTTTATTTTAAAATTAAAAAAATTCGTCTTACTAAATTCTTATTAAAAATATGTAGGAAGTTTAATAAATTAATTTCATAAGAATCCCCAGTTAACAATACATTACCAAAATAAAGTAATATTAAATGGACTGCATAAAGAGTTTGAAATTGAGAGGAAAAACCCACACGATAATATATTTTTATATTATATTGAACTATTTTCCTACTCGAAAGATGGTTCTATTAGACGTAAAGATCTAAAAGTAAAAATGTCATATCAATATTTTACTCTTTGAAAATAAATTTATGGTGGATAAAAGTATAATTAAGATTAATATTTCAAAACAAGAGATGAAACTAATATTTAAGATTAAATAACATAGAATAGAATTACTTTGTTATGTTAATACCAAATAACTAAATCTTTTAATTAATTGTTTAACAGATAATCCAATTCAATTATTTTTTAAATTCATCATGTGAGTAAAATTCTTAGTCAAGTTAAAAAAAAAAATCTTAGGGTACATAAATTCCATAAAAAGAGCGTTAGAACACAAAGTAAAAAAGTTAATATATTATTAAAAATCAAAAGTTATATAAGTATATGAGGAAGCACAATCAAAGCTAAATTCTAAACAAGAACAAGCTTTCAAGACTATATTATAAAGAGTCGACTCTGCTATAACGGGATTATTCTTTGTGGAAGCACCGGTGGAATCGAAATAATATTTCTACGTCATGCATTATCTGCAAATATCATATCAAGAGGCATGACACTGTTAGCAATAATAGCAAGTGATGTACCAATATCGATTTTATTGTGAGGCCACCAACTTTAGATTTGATATACATCTTCAAACAAATTAAATCAGATCCAGTATTCAGTGTCTTCGTTTTGGAAACGAAGAAGAGCATCCAATAAAAGAAGATTTGGTTCTTCTTTAGCACTTGGTTATCAATCCCAATGGTAAAAGTAGTCATTTAATAAGAGAAATATTTATATCAATAGATTAAAACGTAATTTATGCAAATCGCATGATAGAATTAAAAGGATATCCTAGCTAGCATAAATGAATATGTTGATCAACTAAATAAAATGTTGATTGCAAAATTTTATAGTAAAAATAATTCTTTTTGTTTTGTTTTTTACTCAGCAGAAAAATGATACAATAATTACTACCAAGAAGAATATTGAAATACTTTAATACCAAATGGCCTTCTACCATACATGTTTGTTGTCAAGTTTATTATTTCTTATGTATGTTAGTGTCACCGTATATATATAGTAGACTAAGTTAAAACTGATCTTCCATTGCATATAGGTTAGATTTTGAAGAAAAATATGCCCGTCGTGCAACTGAAAAACTTAGATACGTCAAATAGCGTATGTAATAGTACACAAATGGTATATAGAAGTTTTGACAATAACGTCATATATGCAAAAATTATCATGATACTGGTCAATGTGCTTCTAAGTATATTCTTATCCCCGAATTCAACTTTCGTCTTTCGAAACTAAGGAATATCTGATTTAATTTATGTGGAAATAATTTTAGTATGTTTGTGCTTTGCAATATAATAAATAAAGCACAAGGACAAACATCCTAAATATTGGACTATATTTACCGAAATATATTTTCTTACACGAACAACTGCATGTTGCACTTTCAAGAGGGATATCAAGATCGACAACAAGAGTTTTGGTTAAGGCAGAAGCATTAGGAGGAAACATACAATAAAAAAATATTGTCCACAAAGAAGTGTTCGTTATGATACCATCACATTAAATATTTTTAAACTATAATACATAATTATCTAATTAAGACACAATTGATCACTTGTGTAAGTTTTGACGATGTCCTTTTATTTTAAATTCATGTATTATGCTAATGTAATAATATTTTCGCCATGTACTGATTGTTGTATTATTATACACAAAAATTTTCTCAATAATTAAATTTTATTGTTCCTTCATATATATAAATGTATAAATCATCGCGTTAACGCCATTATTAACGTGCAACGCACGTTCATAGATACTAGTTATTTTAAAAGGCAAAATAATCTAAAGGGTATCATCCACCACTTCTTTAATTTGTCCCAACAAAAAAAGAGTCATGGCTGCTGGCTGCGATCATTACTCTATTATTGTTGTTGCTTTCAAAATCTCATAATGTTGGAGATTTTTCCATAAGATAAGAAGGACGAAGAACGCTGACGCTTAGTGGGTAATGACCATTTTTCACTGTTCTATTACACAATAATTTCCTTTTTCCTTTAGTTTTAGGGTTTATATTTAGCTTAGGACTAAATAGGTCCAGCTTTTGCAACATGAAAGCTTTTATGCTTAATACTTAGTAGTGGTATATATAAAGGACCAAAATAGAGCCACACTCACACATAAGGAGTACTATTTTAGTCATTTTCTTTCAGTTGAGCAAGCTGGTCTTAGAGAAACTTTAAGCCTTTAAGGAGACGTGAATGATTAATTACCCATATATGATTGTCCTTTGACATCTATTTAAAGAAACATTTGATTAAATGGGCATGCAATGAAAGCGTATATCAGTGTCATGGGTCATGACAGAGGTTAATGTTGAGCTCAATCAGCTGGAGAGGTTATTGCCATCAACAAGTTCGTTATCTGGCTGTTTGGACAGGAAAATAAGGAAAAGAAACTCCATTGTCTTTAGAACAAACAACTCAAACAATTTAAGGAAAAAGAAGAGTACAAGAAAAATAACTACGTACACAATTTACCATGAATACCTCCATAAACTAAAAAAGAATATTGTTCATCTATTGGAAACATGATCTCCAAGCCAGCCAATAGGAGCTACTGAGTAAATTAAGATTTATTAGAATGAGTTGGAGAAAAAAAAGGTTGTGTAGAGTCAATGAAGCGGGTTGAGCACCATGAGGTCTCAGGTTCATTCTTAGCAGAGACAAAACGCTAGGTGATTTCTTCCCATCCGTTCTAGCCTTGGTGGACAGAGTTACCTGGTACCTGTTGCTGGTGGGAGGTACACGGTATCCCGTGGAATTAGTCGAAGTACGCGCAAGCTGATCCGGACACCACAGTTAGCAAAAAAAAAAAAGAGAGATTCAAACATCACACCTTCAGCTTGCTGAGCCACTCCAGGCTTCCTTAGAATCAAGCAGGTGAGCAACAAAAATCAATAAAAAGAAGAAGAAAAAAACACATGAGTACACCTTTAACCCAAGAGCAGGGTTATGTTAGAGATATATCATGTCCCACATAGGTAGTATAAAGGCTTCTACAAGATTTATAATAGTTGTGAACTACTCTACCAATTGTTCTTTGGAGTTTGACTTGAATACTCAAAAAAATTCACAAGCTACCGTATCAAAAGAAACCAAATTCCTAAACCATTGGAGTGTCTTGTGAAGATAACACTAATTTGAATACTGAAGCTACACATTATCAATCTGAAGTGTCAAAGATGTGAAAACAAAAAAAAATGACATGACAGTGAATTACAGTAATAATAAGAATAAAGTATATGATTAGAGCGAAGTCTCCCGGACAATTTGATTAAATGGTCGGCGTCAATGGCCAAAGGTTCACACTCGGATCATAAATGATGATATGGATAAAAACCACTAAAATGGAACAAGCATGTCATGAACCACTGCTAGTTCTCAGAGATCGGAATTGTAGATTTTGTAGGAGGTGAAGAGCAATGGAGGAGAGGAGCAACATTAAAGAATTGCAGACATTTAGATTTTTTTCCCCTTCAAATTGATGCTTGACTGGGGATAACACAAGGGCAGCTTCTGGGAACATAAGATAGGTTTTTGATGCCTCAATTTCTTCAACCATGATTATAATTACTCACCTTCAGCAAATGGTCCTATGCCTTAAAAGATCCTCATATCAAATCCCTAAAAACCTTTTTTCCTCACATTATGGAGAACCTAGCAGGCGATATTTTCTGCATTAGAAGAATGAATATTAAAAAGTGATGGAACTTCTGCAATTGCAAGTCTTAAAGGTAATATTAATAGAGGTAAACTACTATTAAATTACTCAAGCTTCAGCAAATCGTCCCTTATTTGTTACAGAATCCTCATCTCAATTCTCTAAGAACCAAATTTGCCTCGCTTGGAGAACCTAACAAGCCGTTATTTTTTGCATTTGAAGAATGAGAATTTAATAGTTGAAGGTTTTTAACTGCATGTCTGGAAGATAAGTAGCTTCAAGCGTTTTAAAAATTGTGAACCACACAATGTATATTCCCTTTAAAAGTTAAATGCAAAGGTTAGAGGCATGATGGATCAGGATCAACCAGAACTTCAGAAACTGTCATGGTAAAAATTTCAACACAGAGGATAGTATACCTCAGAGCTGTCTCTGTGCCATGGCGTACCTTCTGAATATTCTAGCCCATGATTTATATTTGCCCTGTTAGGCTATCCCAGCTTCTTAATATTGCTGCAGGAACTTTGAGCGGACTGGACTTTGCACTTAACTCAAGGAATACCTATTCAGTAACCCGCCATCGATAGCAACGACTGAGAGAAAATTAGTTGTCAAAAAGAATATAGTTCTAATAATATAGATATGCTGAGGCAATTAACAACATTACGAATTTTAACTAGCTCATGATTGAAGAGAAGTGTAGGAATGGCATCGATACCATTTTTCCCTTAAGAGACATTTGGATGCTGGGAATGGGATCTTCGAATGAACAACATGAAGCCAGTTGTTCATAAAATATGATAGGTTGTGATAGTTAACAGGTCCATGTGAAAGAACATTCAGATTTTTCTTACCAAAATGAAAAGCACTAAATCAAGGCACAGAAACATTACCTGTGCACCAAAGAGGTGAGTACAGGCACGTTAATGATGGATCTATCTGCTGCTCGTACCATTAATATCTCTGAAGCTTCAAGCAGCAAGGATTGAATTACAGTGCCTCACATCTTATGATCATGTTTCTAATCTTTAGTGTAAGTGATGAAGTAATATCTTGAAAAACAAAATTTCCCCCTTACTTTTCCTTTCCCAAATTTTCAGCAATGCAGGTAACCACCAGAGCTCATATTAATTGTTAAATTAGAAACTGTTATACATGGTTACAACCTATTTCAATTATGTCAAGATAATGCATCATCTACAAGAAAGTATGAGCATTCAATTTGAAATATGTATCCGGCATCCTTCATTGGATCTACGAGTTTAAGAAGCAACTCTTTTATTTCTTCTAACCGACTGTGGGAATTGTCTTTAGTGATAAACTTATGTCTGATATTGTTTATCTCAATCCAACTATAAGCTGCTTCTTTCACCAATCCTCTGTCATCCATGTACCTTCGCAGACTGCGGGCATCATCCCACCTTCCTGCTGCGGCATAGATGTTGGATAACATAATATACCTGGCAGCATTATCAGGTTCTAGCTCAAATAGATCTTCTGCTGCCCTTCTAGCAAGCTTCAAGTTCCCATGTACCCTGCAAGCACCCAAAAGTGCGCCCCACATTCCAATATTGTCTCTTCCCCAAGGAGGTCCCTTGATCAAATCCGCAGCTTCTCCAAGCATATTCTTCCGTCCAAGTAAATCAATCAAGATGGCGTAGTGATCTAAGTTGGGTACTATACCGTATTTCCTCTCCATTGAATGAAGATATTGGAATCCTTCAGATAATAAACCACAGTGGCTACAGGCAGATAAAACCCCAAGAAAAGTTACATGATTTGGTGTTGTATCTGCTTCAATCATTTTCTCAAACATGAACAAAGACCTCACTCCATTCCCATTTTGAGCAAATCCATTTATTATCGAGTTCCAAGTAACTTGATCCTTCCCATCTAACCTCTCAAACAATCTCATAGCAGATATCATGTCTCCACATTTACAATACATGTCAACCAAAGCATTAACTACAAACACATTATGCAAATCAATTAAACATGTACATCTAAAAATGTGCCCATGAACTTGCTTCCCTTTTCCTACAAGAGGTATGTCTGCACAAGCACTTAGAATACCAACGTAAGTGGATGCACGGGGTACAATACCTTCTTCCAGCATTTCCTTGAAAGTACACAAAGCCCTATCTCCTTCTCCATTTTGCGCAAACCCTGTGATCAGAGCAGTCCAAGCCACCACATTTCTGATCGGCATATGATCAAAAAGTGAGCACGCATCTGCCATTCTAGACGCACGTATATAAGCAACCAACAGCGAAGTCCACGAGAATACATCAGTCTCGCACATTTGACAGAAAATAGAATACGAGTACTCGGGTTTGCCACATTTCCCATAAGCATCAATAAGTGCATTGCACACCACAAGATTAAACCTCACACCAATCACAGTTGCTAACCCATGCAATTCATGCAACAAGTTCAATGCAGCCAAACCTGCACAAGTATTTACCACGCTAACAACCGTGAACTCGTCAATCAAAAACCCATTCCCACATTGAGTTTGCATTCTTTTGAAAAACGTCATAGCTTTTCTAGGGAACCCGTGATGAGTTAAGCTTGAAATGATTGAGTTATAGCTCACAACATTTGGATCAGGCATTACATCGAGCAGCTGGAAGGTTTTCTCAAAGAGACCCTTTTGAGAGTAAGCTGACAGCATTGTGTTCCAAGATTGGGCGTTCTTGTCTGACAGTTCATTAAAGGCCTGTTGCGCATACTCTATGGAACAGCATTTAGAGTACATGTATATCAGACGGTTGGCGAGGAATGTGTTAAAGGTTAATGCTGTCTTGATCAGTCGGGAGTGTATGAGTCTCCCAAGCTTGAGATCATTAGTTCGGATGCAGTTTGAAAGGAGACGCGCCAAGTGATGCACAGGCTCAGCAGATATTGCTTCACTTGGTTGCATGAGAGCAGATTACGTCTATAATTAACCAAAAAATTCAGGATTAGCAAGGGAAGAATATTTCGCAGAATGCATGAAATAATCGTATATTTGAAATCTTATGAATTTTCACATTGGTTGCGATTTGCGAATTTAAAATTTTCGTGACAGATATTTTTGTCGATTTCTCATGATTTATTTAGTAGTTCCAAAATTGCGATAGGGAATTCGTAGCTAATATAGAAAACATGTACATTTAGGGTGTGTTTGCGAGGAAATGATCAAAATGGTCTTTAATGTATATATATCACTTGGTAGAAATAGTCCTTACTGTATATGAAAATATGTTCAGTTTGGTCTTAACCCAAAAACCTAACGGTTCAAATAAAAATTCTGTTAAATTAAACCTTGATTCCTCAAAAGTAAAGTCTTGTAGACCGCAGGCCCCTTCTCCCTCATCTTCTCTCTCGTTGGCCATTTCTTCCACAATTTCCTTACTTCTTCTTTTTTTCTCTCTAAAATATCTCATTAATGTAAAAAGTAACTCAAGTAGTCTATTTTTCACCTCTATCGGCTTAGTTTCCACCCTAGTATTTGAAATGAACAGAAAAGGGGGAAGCTATATTACTCCTTTAAAAAGGATAGAAACAAGAGAGGAAGAAAGTATGTCCTTTCCATAAAAGAGTTGGTTTTTGGCAATCCCATTGGAACTGTACGCTTAAATCAATAACAAAAGATACAAATTACGGGTAGAAAGTGAAACAAGAGAGGAGGAAAGAGAGATCAGAAAAGTTGTACTCTACAAGTTACCTGTAATTAAGTTTACTCTCCTCTCTAGTTTGATCTATTTCTACTACTGCAAAGGAAATATTTTCAGTTCGAGCTTCTGAAAATTTTTCATCACGAGCCGCTTCTCTATCTGCTAAGCTCTTGATTGGAGAAGGAAACTATCTCAAATCATGAAGACCAAAATTATAAAGGAGTACTTTTTGCACCTTTTTTAATGAGTGCCTTTTTTTATTAATCGGAGCTGCTGGAATTGTTCTTCAGGGAGAGATAAGAAGTGAGTGTGTTGTTTTTCCATGAAAGAATATGTTGCTTGTGATTCTATTTCAGGGAGAAAATGGAGGAGGGTGATGTCTGAGAACGATGTAAGAGAGAAAATTAGGGAAAGGGGTTGCTTCACTTTTAGAATTCTAGGTTAAGTTTAACGGAGCTTTTGAATTTTAAGGTTAGTTTTAGGGTTTAAAACCAAAAGATCAAATTTTTATATACATTAAGGATTATTTCCGTCAAGCGGTATATATTAAGGACCAAAATAGTCCAACCTCTATACATTAAGGACCATTTTGATCATTTCCTCGTGTGTTTGCTTCGAAGGAAAATATTTTTCATAGAAAATATTTTTTTTTTCACGGAAAATGAGTGATATTATCACTTATTTTTCATTGTTTGGTTGGCGAGCGAAAAATATTTTCTAGTGTTTGGTTTGAGAATAGAAAATATTTTTTTTTTATACTATTCTCTTCCCCCTCCCTCCCCCCCCCATTTCCCCCAAGTCTCTAAAAATTCAAACAAATCCAAAGGAACTAATGTTCTGCTTTACTTTTTTACGCAAAAATAATGTTAAAATATGTGCTCCATATCTAAAAAGAAATACTCTTTTTTGGTTAAAAAAGAAAGTACTCTTTCTACAACGAAAATAAAGTACTCATTTTATTGAAATAAAAAAAAATACTTTTCTACATCTTGAAAAGAAAATACTCATTTTATTGAAATAAAAAAAAAATTACACCATAAAAAGAAAATACTTTTTTTTGTTGAAATAATAAAAATACTTACTACTTTTCTACATGAAAAGAAAGTATTGTTCAAATGGAAAAAATATTTTTATATCATGAAAAAAAAATACTCGTTTGTTGAAATAAAAAAAAAATGTATCTATAACATGGAAAAAAAATTGGGCGGGGGAGCGGTAGGGTGGGTAGGTAGGAGTGGCATGGGAGTGGGTGGGGTGGGTAGGGTGGGGGTGGGCTGGTGGGGGTTGGTGGGGATGGGGAATAGGGTGGCCGGGGAAGGTTCAGAAGGAGTTTTTGAAATAATTCTCCCTTCTTTTGAATGGAAAACACTTTCCTCCAATTGGAGGAAAATATTTTCCAAAACATTTAGACCAACCAAACATAAAAAAATTGAAAAATATTTTCCTTCGTACCAAACACACCCATAATTCTTGTTGAAACATTATTTGGGAGTACTATTTTCTTTATTCAAGTATAAGGTTGTGCATTTATATCTAATGAGAATCTAAGACAAACTCGATAGAAACAGAAGAAATGTGCAAGAAGATTCTAGAACACGAGCTCTATTGCAGAGCAAAATGAGCTAAGATATTTTCTCATAATCTAATCTATACAATGACTAATAGTATGTTATATACACGCTAACTAAGGTTAACTAACTCTACTCTTCTGTTAATTTCTAACTATAAATCACATAATTAGTTATAATTAAGTGCCTGTTTGGACATAAAATTTGATGGAAGATTTTTCCAAAAAAGTTTCACTTTTTTCGAAATCAGCGTTCGTTCATAAAATTTTCAATTTTCACTTGAAGATGCATTTTGGAAATTTTCGAAAATTTGAAAAACTGCAGAAAACTATTTTTCAAAATTTTCACTCAAATCACTCACAAAACTTCAAAAACAACCCAAACTTAAATTTATGTCCAAACACAACTCTAAATTTCAAATACCATTTTCACTTGAAAAAAAACTTCACAATTTTTTCAAATTTTACAATTCTTATGTCCAAACGCCTACTAACTATTCTACGAATCTCGTTTGCACACATGCGAGTCACGTACCACTTCTTTCTTCAATAATATCACATTGCAAGAAATTGATTATTACGTAGATATCATTTGAATGATCTAATTGAGTAAAATTAACAAGGTATATAACTTAATGTCAATCAGCAAAACAAAAATGTAATGTTATAAACACATGCACTTATAAAAGTTCGTGTAACAAAAGTGATATGATATTTGCAGTTGTCTTTACGCGGATATCGTTGCAAGTGGAAAGTTGTAACGACACGACTGGTCGTTTTGGGTATCTGCATCTCGCTTGGTGTTTTGAGGGCTCGAGTAGCTCCGCATGATGTATTACGACTTGCGTAAATCGTCAGTATTGGTTTTCAAGTTATCCGGAATCGATTTAGGGGAAATGAACTTCAAGATTTAGGTTCTAAGATGGAAGAAATTATCAAGTTTGACTTTTTGGCAATTGACCTCGAAATGGAGTTCTGTCAGTTCCGTTAGCTTCGTTGGGTAATTTCGGACTTAGGAACGCGCCCGGATTATAATTTGGAGGTCCGTAGAGGAATTAGCCTTGAATTGGCGAAAGTTGGATTTTTGGTAAGTTTGACCGGGAGTGGACTTTTTGATATCGGGGTCGAATTCCGATTCCGGAAATTGGAATAGGTCTGTAATGTCAAATGTGACTTGTATGCGAATTTTGAGGTCAATCCGAGGTGATTTGATAGGTTCCAGCATCGGTTGTGAAAGTTGAAGTTTCAAAGTTCATTGATTTCGGCTAGAGGTGTGATTCATCGTTTCGAGGTTGTCATGTGTGATTTGAAGCTTCGAGTAGGTTCGTCTTGTCATATGGAACTTGTCTGCAAAGTTTGGCGCCATTCGGAGTTGACTTGATAGGGTTCGGATGCTCGGTTGTGATTTTAGAAGTTCTTGAAGTTTAGTTTGATTTTCATGAGCTTTGGCATCCGATTCGTGGTTTTAGAAGTTATTTTAATGATTTGAGTGTGCGAGCGGGTTCATATTATGTTTTTAGACTTGTGTGCATATTTGGTTTGGAGCCCTGAGGGCTCAGGTGAGTTTCGGATTGGTTTCGGAATGTTCTTGCATACTTCTTAATTGTTGGTTCTGGTATTTTCGCAGTTGCGAAGTTGGATCACAAATGCGGCCATCGCATTTGCGAAGGGACCTCATATTTGCGAAGCCTGGGCGACAGGGCAGTTTCGCATTTGCGATGAACCAACCGCATTTGCGAAGGCTGGTCTTCGCATTTGCGTAGAATTTGTCGCAAATGCGACCTCAGCAGGAACTCTTCAGGCATCGCAATTGCGATGCATTTTTTCGCAATTTCGGGTTCGCAACGCAAATGCGACATCTGCAGCCTGTTAAGTGCTGAGAATTCCGAGTTTCATATTTTTGAACCCTAGTTTCGGAGTGAGGCGATTTTGAGAGGGGATTTTCATGCCAAATCATTGGGTAAGTATCTTTAATCAATTTCCAACTATATTTCATGGTCTTATACGAGATTTAACATCAAATTCGTGGGAAAACTATGGAAAAATTTGGGGATTTTGTCAAAGTTTTGAAAAATGAAAATTTAGGATTTAGGAGTCGAATAAGACTCGGATTTGAAAACAAAACACATATTTGGACTCATGAGGCTTTGGGTAGTCAAGACCTAACCTTGGACCCGGGTTTTGACCGGGCAGGCCCGGGGTTTGACTTTTGTTGACTTTTTAGAAATTGAAGAAAAATCATAGCTTTATTAATTGAAATTGTTTTCTCTTGCATCGTGTGGTGTATTCAAGTCGTCGTTGGCTAGATTGAGTCGAGCGGATACGAATTCGTAGAGGAAAAAGGCAAAGTTGAGTGTTGAGTTAACCGGATCGAGGTAAGTGTTTTGTCTAACTTTATTGAGGGAATTTTTCCTCTTATTTGTCATTGTTTGCAACATGCGGGGGTAATACATATATGAGGTGACAAGCGTATATTTATGTGCCAGGGTTAATCATGCTCGGGGGTGGTTTTGTGTTATATTTGTATTTGTAGAATTTTGTGACATTTTTCTAAATGCCTTGTTTGACTCTTAAATACTAAGGACATAATATTAAATGATAGATATCAAGATTTAGTTTGTTATAACTTGGTAAAGCTTGATGAAAATTGTAAGAATACATTAATGAGTCTAATTCGGCCACCTCTATGTGAAATTATTACTACATTGCTAAATACCGTTATTCTTGAGATGTTAGACTCTATATTTGTGTTGTGAATCAATTATGAGATTCGTGGAAATATTTGAATAATACGATTCTTGAGGGTTGTTGAACCATTGTTGACTTGGAAAGTTGTGCTTGGGAATTGTCTGGAATATCCATTAAAACACTCTCCTTAATGTTCGTTATGCTTCCAACCATGTTTGTTACGGTTATATATATGCTTGGTAAGGAAGAGTGTAAAGCACGAAGGGCGATGTCGTACTATTGTTTATATATTATCATGTGAGGGAGAGTGTAAAGCACGAAGATGTCGTGCCATATCATTTGAGAGTAAAAGCACGAAGGGTGATGCCGTGCCATTTCATTTATATTGTTGTGCTTGTATGTTATGGTGAGGTCATGGAATGGAGGGTGTTTCCGTGCAGGTGAGGACGAGGGACATGCATTCTGAAGTGATATTTGTTTTCCCGTGTATATGGTTGTGCCCTTACTTTGAAATGTTATTGTTGTATTTACACATTTGGTGCGACTTGTTGTTATTGCCATGTACTTGACTTTATCTCAATTGTTGTTGCACTGTCCATGACCTTTACTTGCTTAACTTGAAATTACCATGTCTATTCCTGCTTTTATAATTATACTCATATTGTATCTATTCTGTTGCACTTTAGTATAAGTCTTCCATTATGCTAGCCATTCATGTCTTACTTGTTAACTCGTAAAGAACATGTGCTATCTTCTTAATTGTTATATTTGTACTTAAGGCCTCCAATATGCTAGTTAATTGAAGTTGATATTCCCTGTTTTCCAATTGTTGTTGTTACTTACGTGCTTTCCGCTTAGTCCATTACTGTGATCCACATGTGTTTCCTTGTCCACTGTTGTTATTGGCGTATTTCCTACTTGGTAATTCCTATTATTGTGTTCCTGTGATATGGTTAGTATTGTTGTACGATTACTTGGAAAGGATGAGTTGAATGCACGAAGGGTGTTGCCGTGCTAATTGAATTATTTCATAAATTTATTTATATATGGTGAGAATGAGATAAAAGCACGAAGGGTGTTACCGTGCCATGTGATTTGATATTTTGACATTTTAGACGTATATCTCATACCAGGGAAGATCGGAAATATTCTACTATGGTTCTTTATAATGTTCATTGTCTGACTCGCCGGGTTGTATTTGATACTT